CATCCTAAATTGAAAATATATTATATTGAAAGTGCATTTTTGCCTTAAAATATTTTCAATTTAGGATGGGTTTATCTGGACATACCTCATCTTAAGCCAAGGAGCCTATTGAATTCCTGTCGCTTTGTACCATCGTAAAGTGGAAAATTGTAAGTCAAACCATCATAAGTCTGACACCATCTGTACATGGTATTTAGAAATATCTCGATATTGTGGTGAAATTACCTTCTAGTTTTTAAACTTTGGATATTACTATTATGTTATTCAAAGCATTTATGGAGTAAGTGTAGAGTATTTTGCCTTCAATACATGTGCACTCAGGATATATAGATATTTTTAAAACTAAGATATTCAATTAAGGAAATCATAGGCATTTTGTTCCCTCCTCCTCACCCCCAACCCCCTAAATAACTTAAATATAATATTAGGGCAAAAGCTGATTATTTCATTTATTATAAGATTCCTTAGGAAACGTATGAGTACATATTTTATCTTTTTCTAATGGTCATTAAAAACTAATACATACTCATTCAGATCAATGTAGAAGTGGAGATGAAAATTTTGTATTTTTCCTGAAGCCTCCTTTCTGGCTCTACTTCCATCAGTTACAAGTTAATTCTGCAAGGGACATAGATGTATGAAGTAAATTATATACTTAATTTTATTGAGCTTACTACTGTATGAAAAAATAAGAGAAATATAATTGTAATAATAACAACTATTGATTGCTTACCATCAGCAATACACAGTGTTTGCTAAGGGTGTCACTTATATTATCTCTTTTATTTAATTAACTACTTACAGTTAACTATCTCCATTTTTCAGTTGAGAAAACTGGAGTTTACAAAAATTAAGTAATATACCCAATATGTATGCAGCCGATGTGGGATTAATAGTTAAATTTTTCTAACTCTAGCATCTGATTTTTATACTCTATACTTTGTCACCTCACAATGTCTGGATAATTACCTTTAACATTGCAGAAAATTATTTTTTTGAGACAGGGTCTCGCTCTGTCATGCAAGCCGGAATGCAATGGTGAGATTTAGGCTCACTGCAACCTCTGCCTCCCTGGCTCAGATGATCCTCCCATCTCAGCCTCCCAAGTAGCTTGGACTACAGGCACATGCCACCATGTCTGGCTAATTTTTGTATATTTTTGTTTGTTTATGGACACAGGGTTTTGCCCTGTTGCCCAGACTGGTTTCAAACTCCTAGACTCAAGCGATCCACCTGCCTCAGCCTCCCAAAGTGCTGGGATTACAGGTGTGAGCCACTGTGCCAGGCCCAGAAAATAATTTTTAAGAAAAGAGCTTTTCTTTCTTTTAGAATACTGAAACTAATATGGACTAATTATCCATACATACAAGTTTTAATTTTTTTCATCTGTTTCTTGGGTCACCTTTGTCTAACAGAGATTATTTTATTTAATTTTAGTACTGTTAAAATATTAATACAATGTGAAGTCCTAGTTTAAAAACAACATTTTCATTCTCATACCAATTCTTTCCAATGCCTGGCTGGATTTGTTGTTTGCCTTTTAATCATATTTCAAACTTTATCTTCCCTGAGAAAGCACATGCCTTACAGCAAGTATTGCCAAAATTAATGTTCATTAACAAAGTTAATCCGGGAAATGTATATTTAAAAATCAAGTTCATATTTCAAATTATCATACAAAATATTTTCATGGAGATATATTTAATAAGAAATGAATATCTCTGTAATCCCAGCACTTTGGGAGAACAAGGGGGGAGCAACACTTGAACCCAGGAGTACTAGACCAGCTTGAGCAACATAGTAAGATCTCCTTTCTACAAAAAGAAAAAAAAAAAAGAAAGAAGAGGAAATTAATATCTCTGTTATTTCAACCTGAAGAGTTCTAGGAATTGTCACAGCTAAATGACTAACCTTGAAAGACATTAGTATGTACGAAGGATCTTCAGCTAAATTTTTCAAATCTTTTAAACATTAAAATAAAACATTATAAAGGAAGAATTACACTCAATAATTTTGGTAAATATAAAATAGATAAAAGCAAAACTACAGGGATGGTAATTCTTAAATGTACATATTGAATCAGGAAAGCACTGATAAGACAAGAGGATCTCACAGAAATTTTT